TTCACTCCAGTGACTGCAGTGCCAGGTTGAGAAGCCCTGGATTCATTCCCCACAATCCTAGTACCAAATCCATGTAGTCTCAGTGGCAATGTGCACAAAGAGATAAGGAGCATGAAGCACATCCTACCCTGCAGTGTGGCTGCTCGGAGATGGGGCTGGCTAACCCACACTTGCATGTCCTTGAGTTAAGACATGCATTGCAGCGTAAATGCATCCTTTGGCATGGGCCGGGGATTCTGGATACACCCACAGAATCATAGAAAATGAGGGTTGGAAGGGGCCTCGGGAGGTCACATCTAGTCCAACCCCTGCTCAAAGCAGGACCACCCCAACTAGATCATCCCAGCCAAAGCTTTTTCTAGCCAGGTTTTGAAAACCTCCAAGGATGGAGCTTCCAACATTTTTCTGGGTAACCTGTTCCACTGTTTTATTACCGTCATAGTGAGCAAATTCTTCCTAATATCTAACTTAAACATCCCTTGCTGCAATTCGAGACCGTTGCTCCTTGTTCTGTCATCTGCCACCACTGAGAACAGTCCAGCTCCACCCTATTTCGAACCCCCTTCAGGTAGTGGAAGGATGCTATTAAATCCCCTCTCAGTCTCCTCTTCTCTAGACTAAAGAAGCCCAGTTCCCTGTCTTTCCACATAAGTCATGTCCTCTAGCCCCCTCACCATTTTCATTGTCCTCCGCTGGACTCTCTCCAATTTGTCCACATCTGTTCGGTAGTGGAGGGCCCAAAACTGAAAACAGTACTCCAGATGCAATCTCACCAGTGCTGAACAGAGGGGAAGAATCACTTCCCTTGACCTACTGGCAACGCTCCTAATAATGCAATCCCAAGCCTGTACTGGTGCATGGGATTGTTCTGTCCTAGGTGCAGGACTTTGCACTTGTCCTTGTTGAACCCCATGAGATTTCTTTTGGCCCAATCAAAAATTGGAGACAAATCCTCCAATTTGTCTAGGTCACTCTGAATCCTAGCCCTACTTTCTAACATATCTGCTACTCCCCACACATTGGTGTCATCTGCAGACTTGCTGAGGGTGCACTCTATGCCATCTTCCAGCTCACTGATGAAGACACTGAATAAAAGTGGGACCCCTGGGGCACTCCACTTGATACCACCTGCCAACTAGACACTGAGCCATTGATTACTATTCTCCGAGTCTGATGCTCCAGCCAGTTTTCTGTCCACCTTACAGTCCATTCATCCGGCCTGCACGTCCTTAGCTTGCCTGCGAGAATGTCGTGGGAGACAGTATCAAAGGCCTTGCTAAAATCAAGTTAGACCACATCCACCCATCTCCCTGCACCCACAGAGCCAGTCATCTCATCGTAGAAGGCAATCAGGTTGATCAGGCATGACTTGCCCTTGGTGAATCCATGCTGACTTTTCCTAATAACCTTTTTCTCCTCCATATGCTTACAAATGGATTCCTTGAGGATCTGCTTCATGATTTTTTTCCAGGGACTGAGGTGAGGCCAACTGATCTGTTGTTCCCTGGATCCTTCTTTTTTCCCTTTCTTAAATAGGGGCACTATGTTTGCTCTTTCTCAATCCGGGACCTCCCCTGATTGCCATGAGTTTTCAAAGATGATAGCCAATGGCTCTGCAAGCACATCAGCCAACTCCCTCAGCACCCCTGGGTGCATCCCATCCAGTCCCATGGACTTGTACACATCCACCCTTACTAGGTAGTCCCTAACCTGTTCTTTCACCACTGAGGGCTGCTCACCTCCTCCCCAAGCTGTGCTGCCCGGTGCAGTGGTCTGGGAGCTGCCCTTGCCTGTGGAGACTGAGGCAAGAGAGGCATTGAGCACTTCAGTCTTTTCTGCATCCTCTGTCACAAGGTTGCCTCCCCCATTCAGTAAGGGACTCGCATTTTCCCTGATCCTCCTCTTGCTACCGACATACTTGTGAAACCCTTCTTGTTACCCTTCGCATCCCTTGCTAGCTGCAACTCCAATTGCACTTTGGCCTTCCTGATTTCATCCCTGCATGCCCGAGCAATGCTCTGATATTGTCCCCTAGTTATTTATCCAAGTTTCCACTTCTTATAAGCTTCCTTTTTGTGATTTAGTTTCTGAAGAGTTCCCTCCTAAGCCAAGCTGGTCTTCTACCATACTTGCTAGTCTTCCTGTGCAATGGGATGGTTTGCTCCTGCACTCCCAGTAAGGTTTCTTTAAGGTCCAGCCAGATCTCCTGGACTCCTCTCCCTCTCAGCCTGGCATCCCAGGGGACCCTGCCCATGAGTTCCCTGAGTGACGCCAAGTCTGCTTTTCTGAAGTCCAGGGCCCTTACGCTGCTATTACATTGGCTCCATCCCCTGCTCTTCCATGTGATACCAGGCAAATCAGCTTAGACTATTTGGGCCTGAGCTCCTCATCGGTAAGCTGGAGATCATACTTCCTTACTCCTAAATCCCTCGTCTCCTCAGAATGGATTGGAGGCTCTTGAGGATAAAGACTGTCTCTGTCCATGTACCTGAACAGCACCTTGTGCACTGGGGTCTGATACAGGGGCAGTCCCTACATAATACAGAAGCTGCAGTAAGCTCACATGAGCACGCTGACATGCTGCTACCACCAGAGAATCATTACAATCTGGCAAATATGTGAAACAATAAAAAAAAAAAAAAAGAAGAAGAAAAGGAAATCAGCACATGGCTACTAAATTAATTATACCACATATCACACACAACTGTTTCTTTAAGAGACTATTTAACATCACTGCTGTTCCGACTACTGCTAACTAATTAAGTAATCCGCTACCAGGCCATTAAATAAGTTATATCTATTAGCTTTGGCTCCTTTCCCAGTTGCCAAGCATTAGCAGTGATGAAGAACCATTTAATAACACTAAGGTTAATTTTCTCTGCATGAGCATTTTTCTTTCCATGTTCTCTGTCTTAGGGGCAGCCCCACTCCAGCACTGATAGCGGGGCTGACACTGGCGGGTTGCTGTGGCCAGAAGTCACTAGAGCTATGAAGAAATGGGGAAAAAACAAATACAAACTTTCCTGGGATTTTACCACTAAGACTCTCAGACCAGCAAGTCTCCCACAACGAAGCAGAAGGTATCACTAGCCAAGCTGACAGTCAGTAAGAAATGTGTTTAAGTAAAACACACTTTCACTGGGCACATGGAAGGAGCTGTTTGCTGAGCCACAAGCCAAGCTGGGCTCAGAACAAAGGATGGTCAATGAGACGCCAATAAGCAAGAAGTCCAGCACTTAGATTGGTGGCACGGGCTGCACCAAGGGGCTGAACCCCATCAGGAGCCCTGGAAGAGAAAGGGAGGTCAGGGATCTCTGAACACTGCACGGTCCAGCCTGTAAGGCTCACCGGATGGGTATTCAAAAGGCTTTGAAGGGCTTCAGTCCTTGCATAGACAGCAAACAAAAGGGCAAATATCCTGGTGGCTTCTAAATACCTGGAGACAGGAGAAAGCTAGGAGCTGCAAGCACCCTAACACCACTGCAGCGATAACAGACCACTGCCTATTCTTTCCCCCGAGACAGCCACTTTCTTTATCAGGAGCACTATCAGACCCACGGCAGCTTTCAGGAGTGTTAAGGAAACGGGTAGCAATTCCCTTCTAGAAGAGGGCCACACGAGCCACTGAAAGACACATTCTTCGGTCGGTGTTTGCAGGAATTCATGTAGCCCCGGAGATCCAGCTGGCTGAAAGAACATCTTGGAACAAAGAGGGAGTAATGGGAATGCTTCTTGGTCCAAACCCACTGAATCGATGCTAGGTAGATTTCTAACAAAATGAGTTTTGTCTCATACGACTGGAACACTCACTGGTTTCATCTGTTTTATGAAACCATAAAACATGCCTCTCTGTATTGAGGCAGCTCTGCTAACGACTTTCAGTTAGTTGCTTAGAGCTAATCCTCTACAAATTCATTCTATAATCCACGGATTCATCACTATGGAAACTGCTTATAATCAGTACCTTTTATAGTTTAAAAACAGCATCAACAAGAGGTACTCTTAACTCGAATGGATGGTTATTTCATTCCCACTAGGCATTGCCAGGTTCAGGGCTTCTGGTCCTTTTGTTAATTTAGGGAAATTAAATAAAACCCAGCACAGAACTGAATTTAACACATGTGTCAGCTGAAATGATAAGCAACAGTATGACACACCACGCCAACAGCTGTCAGCATATGGCTGTGCTGATGTGAAGGTATGTGCAATCATTAGCAAGAGTCTCCCAGTAGCTAGGCAATGGCTAAGAGGCTAGTGTGAAGAAATACCTATAATTAGGGAGGTAGGAACAGGGTGTGCAGATAGCTGTAGGCAAGAAGAGAAAGTATGTGGCTGGAAAACAGCACATGAAGAATCTGCTCTCAACTCTACCATTGCTTTGCTGCATCGCTGTAGGCAAAACAAAACTGTGCTTTCACTGTCTTCTCTTGCAAAGTGAAATTAGAAGGCTTTCCTAGTTTAGGATAAGTGTTTAGGAGTTGCTACTCAAATTTAAGAAATAAAACTGGATCACCACCTGAAAAGGTAGGTTTAATAGCAGAGCCTAACAACAGTGACCTATACCAATGCCTAATACTGAGCTTTGGCACTTAGGATGATTTGTGTAGGTAACCAACAGGACACCTAACAAAGAAATCCCAGCTCCGTATATCAAGGAGTTAAGAGAAAAGCATCAGCATCCATTAGGAAAGGACGGAAAAAAGAGCCATGAGAATTAGGAGGTAAAGCCAATTACAGCTCAGCACCAGATTAACCCACAAATGGAATTTCTGACCACACAGAAAAAGAAGATTAAATTTAGAGTGGAATAAAACTATGTAGGAGATGAGACATCTCAGGCTTGCTAATGCCCACTGAACTCAGAGCTTCAGGCTGGCATGCCAACTTTGAGTACCGGGGTCTCTGGTTAGGTTGCCCTGCCAGGGTGCCAAGAGAAATTCACCTGCGTCCTCCTCTCTACAAGGCAGCCTATGTGGCAAACATCAGACAATAAAACGTACCTGTAGCAGCTGGGAAAAACACTCCAAAAACAGTGAAGAAGGACTCCCCTGGGCTGTATTCTGGCAGCGTGTTGTTAAACATTAGTTCTTCGGAGTATCCCACAAAGCCATGCTCTGTGAACACAAGAGGTTGGGAAGGAACACGTGAGAAAATAGATTTGGAAGACAATAAAATAAGTGCCCTATTTGCAGTGCTTTTTTCGCATGCGCTCCTGCCTTCTATCCTCAGAGAAAGTCTGTTTTCCAAAACACATGTGACAACGCCAGCTGGCTTTCAGCGCTAGGTTTGGAATAACTAGTTCAGGAAAAGAAAAAAAAAAGCTGAAAACATCTGAAATTGCCCAATTTTAACATTTATGGAGAAACTCTGGCGAACAGCATCTAAAAGGGTCTCAGTTCATATGTACCTGCATAGGATCACTGGAGTCCAGGGACCTCTGTGGACACATGCCTGCTGATATTAAGACCCACAATTTCTGCCTACATGGGGAAATGACAGGCAGAGCTCCAGCTAGATGATTATACTGCTACAATGATGATACTCTGACTGTGACTCCTGCACTACAAGCGGCTTTTCAACTTTACCTGTGGCCACTTGCAGAAAAGGTGCGAGTTGGCACGTGTGTTTTTATTGCATGCATTAGGTAGGTCTTTTCTGCAATCAAATAATACAAACACATGCCCTACCTATGTCCATTAACTGTGCTACGTTGTACTATAGTGGGTTTTTTTCCTTGTGAACTGAGGTATGTTTGCCACTATTCCCTTGGGATTGTATGCAGCCCCAGAGCCAGGCCAAACTAAGCAACACTGCATTACAGCTGTACCTACATAAAGGTCCGCTTCCATGCAGAGGAAAATTATACTTGAACAAAATTACACCTGAACAAAATAATTCTCTCTAAAACCTGGGGCGTCTTTGCATGTGCTCCAGCATGGGGGCGGGCACTTTAATTACAGTGGCTCTCACGAGCTGCTCTAATTAAAGCGCCTGCAGTGTCTCGTGCATTCAACATCCCACGCTTCAAGTTGGCAGTAGAGTGCTTTAACTAAAGTTCGCCAAAGGGACTTTAGTTAAAGCACCCTC